CAGTGCTAAGCAGCAAGTGGAAGCACAGACTGTGGCTAGATACAGAAAAGCACTACTAAGCTAAGTATTTTAAAGCAGGCTGTGGAGAAAGCATATGCATACCAACACATGTTAAAGTGATTGTAAACCCTCACCTTATAAAACAACCCATTCCGTTTAAAATAGAAATGAAAGGCAAAATACTTGTGTATAAAAATAAAAAAAACACGATAAATACTCTTTTCCCTTTTTTTTAGCACATTCCCTTTGTTCTTAACTGCATAAGTTGCTGGCTGAGGGGAAGCAGCAGCACACTGATCTTCCCAGTGAATGGCTGTGCAGGGGATGGAGAGTGTCAGGACAAGTCTGATCATTGGAGAAGAGCATGCTGAGTTCCCAGCTTAGCTAGAGAACTGACCACGGGGGACTGGCAGGAACACCAGGGATTTCACACAAAGGAAGCAATATAAAGGGAACAGGATACTTTTTCTTACAAGTACATAGTATAGCAGGCACATATCAGGAATATGAAATGTTGGGTTTATATATTCTTTAACAGCATTGTATCATTCTGTAATCTGTACTAAATTGGAATAGCAACAACACGACTATGGTGACTGGTGTACAATTTGGACACAAATTTACAGTGCATAAATATGTAATCAGCTACAAAGGTACACTATATTGTCAAAAGTATTGGGACACCCCTCCAAATCATTGGATTCAGGTGTTCAAGTCACCTCCATGGCCACAGGTGTATAAAATCAAGCACCTAGGCATGCAGACTGCTTCTACAAACATTTCTGAAAGAATAAATAAACAAAAAGGGGGTAAAACGAGCGCTGGATGATATTAGAACAGGATATAAAGCAGCTCGCATGAAAGGCAAACCTCAAAACGCCTCATAAGAAAACAGTCACAAAGAGACTTTTTCAACGTGCCATTGCCACGAAACGCGTTAGGGAGATGCTATTTGACTTACCACCACTGTCCACATGGTCCACACCTTGATACGGGCGGCCATTCTTGTACCTACCTGGAATTGTGAATATATCATGTAAGTGCTTCGTTTGTTTTTACACCCCTTAATAAAAGTTACTACACTATCGGAGGCCTCTCTTTTGGGTTTATTTCCGAGCCTTCAAGGTGACTCCTGTCTTATGAGCGTGCACTGCACCCCCTGGAGGTTGCTGTCAGAAAGGATTCCACAACATATCGGATGAGCGTTTATCGATACAGATGTTTCTGGTGACTGTGGCAGAGACGACCAACACTCCGGCAGAGTTCCCTATCCAGTGACCAGGAGTAGGTCATTTTACTCCAATGCGCTATCAAATGCGCTATCTGGTTAGTGCATTCCACAGCCACACTACCTACCACAAAAGTCACAGATTTCCTTATGTTACTCCATTGATGTATTGACTTTGACACCCATGTCACCATGTACACCTTAGTTTGATTAAGAGTGTGTTTCAGTACGGGTTGTAAATACTAGTACTTGTATGCTAGCTGCGTATATCTCCATTGAGTTTGTCATATTGCATTACGAGGTAATCTCAATATTCTAGCGCTGCATGCTTTTTCTCTTTGTATTTGTGAAAGAATGAGTCGCTCTCAGTGATAAATTGGCACCTGTGCAATAAGTCCATCTACTTACCCACTGGACTCTAGAGCAGTGAAGATGTGTTCTCTGGAGTGAGGAATCACACTTCTCTGTCTGACAATCTGATGGACATGTCTGGGTTTGGCAGTTGCCAGGAGAACGGTACTTGCCTGACTGCATTGTGCCAAGTTTAAAGTTTGGTGGAGGAGGGATTATGGCGTAAGGCTGTGTTTTAGGGGTTGGACTTGGCCCCTTGGTTCCAGTGGAGGGAACCCTTCAGGCATCAACATACCAAAACACTTTGGACAATTTCTTGCTCCCAACTTTGTGGGAACAGTTTAGGGATGGCCCCTTCCTGTTCCAACATGACTTGCGCACCAGTGCACAAAGCAAGGTCCATAAAGACATGCCAAAGGCCGTAAGCTCATTTACCCTTAAACTTAAAATCACCAATGCAAATCCATACAGGATCTCAGTGACCTGGGTAGTGCACATGGTTTGAGGTCAGTCTTTAAAGGAGATAGGAGATAGCAATAGTGGGTTTACAGAGCCAGATACTACCTGAAGTACTGTACATCTAGACCTTGATGCAAATGCATTAAACAACAGTGAAGTAATAACTACACGCTTAATTACAATACATTTTTCGGACAAAAATGTAATTTTAGGAGATTTCGGTGTACACGAATCTTCGGATGATGTCATATGGTGCGATTTTAGTTCAGGCCCATGTGGAAATTAATTCTATTTTTGAATTTGTTCGATAATTTGGATTCGGATAACGTCAGAATTTCATTCCATTCATTAATTTGGATGCAGATGATGCCAGTCAACATTGTTCAATCAGTTCATGCTATTTCTCTTGGTGGGTCAGACTAGCATCTGAAAACTTCAAATCCTTCCTATTCAAATCCATCCATTGTCAGGAAAAACTGCACATTTTTTCAAATCCGCACAGATTAATGAATACACTAAATGAATGCCAAAGATATGAACTGAATTCCGAAAATGAATCAATTCAACATAACAAATATGATGAAACAAAATTCTTCAATGAACCACTGCATCCTAAATGAAATGAAACAAAAATTCCTAGAGTGCACATATCTAGTAATAATGGAATTTCAATTGTTAAAGGTTATGTTAACCTTTAAAAAAAAAATAAATACATGCACATCTTTTTTCAGGTAAAAAAAATGCATTTATTATTTTTTTTTATTAGGAGCCTGGAAAACACTGCGCCTGAGATCAGCAGATTGCGGGTGCAATTCAAGGCTTCTGCAGACTGTCAGTGTAAGCTGTCTGCTCATACCTCATATGAGTAGGCACTTACACAATGACAGCAACTATCAATGAACTACCTGGAGCGCTCACTAGCACTGTGGTAGTTCATTGGAAACTACAAGCCGATAGCTGCAAAGAACTCTGTGAATGAATGACGTGGCTGAGTGCGCCAAGTGTTTATTTTTTTAAATTGTGACAGTGAGTTCAGGGTGAAGATCCCCGGCTCGCTGTCACTAGAGGCAGTAGATTGGGGAGAGGCTGCAGTTGTGGGAACATGTAACATGTTTCCATAGGTGAACTTATCCTTTAAGCACAAAGGATCTCCAGAAAAAAACTAAAACTTTCACCATACATATCCTACAAAACATTAATCATAAACAAACCCCTGTTGTTTCATCTACAGTATCTTATACAGCTTTTTGACCCCTTCAATAATCAAACAAAATCCTTTCAGGATCAATTTTATCAATATCAGGTTTCAAACAGGGATGGACTGACAACTCATGGGGCGCCCGGGCAGTAAGAGATAGTGGAGCCCCCTGTTCCCCGGCCTACACTCAAGCCACACCCACACAGCACTCTACCTACATATTGCAGCTCAGCTACATAGAAGGGGCATTTAAATATTTACTGCAGCAAAGTCTGCATGAATGTTCCCGGCTTCTTTCCGTAGAAGCCACTGGGCACTTCCAGGTTTAAAGATGGCTGCCATGTGGGGGAAGTGAGAGGGTGAAAAAGAGGAGGGGTGTGTGAGAGAGGGAGAGAGAGAGGAGTAGGAGTGAGAGAGGAAGGGATGAGAGAGGAGGGGTGTGTTTTAAATTGCGCTAAACATTGGGCATGGCTTAAAAGGGGGTGTGGTTAAATAGTGTCTGAGATGACTTATATGGGGCAGAATGAGGTAATGTTAAATAGGGAATGTACAGTGTGGTGTTTATGACAGTGAGTAGTATGTACAGGGAGAGGAGTGCGGAGTGTATGGCTGTGGGTAGTTTGTACAGGGACAGGAGTACAGAGTGTGTGGCTGTGGGTAGTATGTGTAGGATGGTGTCAGTAGGTGGTGTCAGTAGTTCTTCATTTTTATTAGTATTATTTTATTTTTTTTACAATTTTATGATTTTGTTTTTACAAATTAATGTTTTATTATTTGTATCATTTTTTTTCACAATGCTTTTGGGTGGCCAGTGGATGGTGTCAGTAGAGCAATGGTGTGTTTGCCAGAATTTGAACATTTTTATTATCTAATTTTTAATTATTTTTTACAATTTATTTATGTATTATTTTTTTCACAATGATTTTGTTGGGGCAGTGGACAGTGTCAGTAAGGAGTGAACAGGGAGCACTAGTATTTGTTGGGCTGTCATTAGATTGGGATGAATAAACAGAACCTGTACCCCCTTATATCAGAAGGAAGGGAATGGATGGAGGGAAGGGAGGAAGGAAGAAAGAAAAGGGAGGGATGGAATGGATGAAGGAAGGAAGGGGAGGGAAGGAAGGATTGGTGGGAAAAAAGAATAAACGGAGGAGTTGGAGGAAGAAAGGCAAGGAAGAAAATGGATGGACAAAGTAATGAAGGGGAAGGAAGGAAGATCTTTGGACTGAACAGCAACAAAATAATATACCTTCAGGGTAAAAGTAGAAATAATGTAGAAAATATTTCAGCTTAGCAGCTGCAATAAAGATATTGCTTCATATGTCACAGTCATTAACAGAGGAACCACAAATTAATACCAAATTTGTAACTATTAAATAGAAAATGTGTAAAAATGAATTGTAACGGAACCAGACCCAGACCACACTTGGGTATTTCCGTTATACTCCAGCTTCCCCGTCCGAACACAAATCCCCGGACACCACCGCTGATCGTGCAGGAAATAAGACAGCACCAGGCTTCTCTTAGGCAGGAAGTCAACTGCTTTATTTTTACACAAACACAAGATATATACACAGGGCGGGGAAATACAACCAGGAACAGGAAACACATCAGAAGCCCGCCCCATAAGGGGGAAGGGCTACAGGAAATACCCCCCACCCAACCAAGACAGGGAACAATGGGATGCAGCACATGGCAGTGAACAATGGACAACCACCTGGCAGTGAACAATGGACAACCACCTGGCAGTGAACAATGGACAACCATGTGGCAGTTGGCAGTGAACAATGAACAATCCCACACCAAAACACATTACAGGCACAGGGTGGGTTAAACATAAACATAATGAAGGGAACATGGGGAGCTGACACAGGGGTCCCCCCACCCCCAAAAGTCACTCCCATCACATGAAAACTGAAGTTTTAATAGATTTTATGCAGTGTTAGCACAAAGGCCCTGTAACAGGCTTGAGATGAAAATGTCAACCACTTTTAACCACTTGCCATCCTGAGGATTTACCCCCCTTAATGACCAGGCCTCTTTTTGCTATTTGGCGCTGCACTATTTCAACTGATAATTGCACAGTCATGCAATGCTGTATCCAAAGAAAATTTACGTCCTTTTTTTTAGACAAATAGAGTTTTCTTTCAGTGGTATTTGATCACCTGTGCGCTTTTTTTTTTTTGCGCTATAAACAAAAAAAGACTGAAAATTTTGAAGAAAAACAATATTTTTTACTTTTGGCTATAAAAAATATATATTAAACTCAAAGTTAGTCATAAATTTAGGCCAAAACGTATTCTGCTACGTTTTTGGTAAAAAAAAATCCCAATAAGTGTATATTGATTGTTTTGTGTGAAAGTTATAGCGTCTACAAACTATGGTATAGATACTGCAATTTACGCCATTTAATTGCTATACAGCGCTGCACTAGTTTAACTGACAATTGCGCGGTCATGCAATATGGTACATAAATGAAATTTACGTCCCTTTTTTTACACAAATAGAGCTTTGTTTTGGTGGTATTTGATCACCTGAGTGCTTTTTATTTTTGGTACTATAAACAAAAAACTTTTGAAAAATATACTAAAAAGACCCCCAATATTTTCTCATTTCTGTCTTAAAAAATATCCAAAAAACTAAAATGTCATTATAAATTTAGGCCAAAATATATTCTGCTACATGTTTTGGTAAATAAAATCCCTATACAGTAAGTGTATATTGATTGCTTTGTGTGAATGTTATAACATCTACAAACTATGGTATAGATAATGGAATTTGCACATCTTTTACTTTTTGACTGCCCATCACATTTCTTGAGGTGCTAAAATACCAGGACAGTACAAACACCCACAAATTACCCCTATTCGGAAAGTAGTCACCCTAAGCTATCTGCTGAAAGGTATATTGAGTCCATGGAAGTTTTTTTTTTTTTTTCCACAAATTTTTGGAAATTGCAAAAGAAACAATTGAGTACTGTCCGTGATCCTTTTTTTATTTGCACTAACATACAATTTTGAGGACAAGCTTTCGGGGTATGTCCCCTTCTTCAAGGTCTAAGCAGTACTATTACAAATCACAAAGTTTAAGCAGAATGTTAAAAGGGATTGAGAAAAAAAAAAAAAAAAAGGCTACAGATAAGATACATCAAAAGCGAGGGGGGAGGGGGGGGGAATACTACACTCACACAGAGGGGGTCAAGCTTTAGCTAATAGATAGTCATAAAGCTGTCAGATAATGGTTGAGGAAACCCATGTCCAAATTAAGGCCGTTATCTTTTGTGTCAAATAGAGTTATCATTCTTAGTTCAAATGTTTTTCTTTCCTGGATGGATTTGAATTTTTCTTTCAGAACTAAAATATTGAGGTCTTCCATATTGTGGCCTGGTTGTGTGAAATGGTGTCCTACAGGTGTGCAAAGGTCACCTTCTTTATGTTCCTTGATGGTATGTCTGTGCAAATTCATCCGTGTTTGTAACCTCTGTCCTGTTTCACCAACATAAGAACCTTTGCTGCATTTTCTGCACTGGATAAGGTACACAACATTACTGGAGGTGCAGCTGTATGATCCGCAGATATTGAAGATCCCTTTTGAGTGTCTGACACTTTTTGATGGATTGATTTGGTTGCACAGTTTGCAGCGTTTCTTATTGCAGGGTTTGGTTCCATTATTTGTGACATCATAATCAGAAGGAAGTTTCCTACTGATTAGTTTATTTCTGAGGTTAGGGGGTTGTCTGAAAGCCAGTATTGGGGGTTGCTGGAATATTTCTTTCAGAGTTCCATCCTCTGTTATGATGGGTTGTAAATCTTTGATTATTTTTCTTATCCCTTCTAGTGCTGGGTTGTATGTGGTTACTAGAGGTACACGGTTGTTTGTTTTTTTCTCTTTGTACTGAAGTAGATTTTCCCTTCGGGTTCTCAAGGCTGTGTTTATGCCGGTGTTGATAGTTTTGTCCTTGTAACCTTTCTTATGGAAGGCGTCTGCTAGTGTCCCGAGATGTTTATCTCTGTCTCTTGGGTCAGAACATATTCGGTGGTATCTAATGGCCTGACTGTGTATGATGGCACGTTTCGTGTGTTGGGGGTGGAAGCTGGAACTGTGGAGGTTCCATCCTCACCAAACGACAAATACACTGCTGAGGATGTTACACAGCTCATTGAATTCATACTTACACACAACTACTTTGCTTTCAATAAAGACATCTATCTTCAATGTATGGGCACTGCGATGGGAAGTAAAATGGCACCCCAATATGCAAATTTATTTATGGCTAACATGGAGGAACAATTCCTGAACAACATGGAACAAAAACCATACAGATACTTTTGCTATATTGATGATATTTTCATCATATGGACAGAAGGTGAAGAAAATCTAAAACAGTTTTACTCATTGATGAACACTTTTCATCCATCAATCAAACTAACAATGGAATACTCAAACACACACGTTAACTTCCTAGACACCACAGTATACATCAGGGATGATACACTTCACACCTCAATATACAGGAAACCCACTGACAGATGCAACTACCTCCACAGTTCCAGCTTCCACCCCCAACACACGAAACGTGCCATCATACACAGTCAGGCCATTAGATACCACCGAATATGTTCTGACCCAAGAGACAGAGATAAACATCTCGGGACACTAGCAGACGCCTTCCATAAGAAAGGTTACAAGGACAAAACTATCAACACCGGCATAAACACAGCCTTGAGAACCCGAAGGGAAAATCTACTTCAGTACAAAGAGAAAAAAACAAACAACCGTGTACCTCTAGTAACCACATACAACCCAGCACTAGAAGGGATAAGAAAAATAATCAAAGATTTACAACCCATCATAACAGAGGATGGAACTCTGAAAGAAATATTCCAGCAACCCCCAATACTGGCTGTAAGACAACCCCCCAACCTCAGAAATAAACTAATCAGTAGGAAACTTCCTTCTGATTATGATGTCACAAATAATCGAACCAAACCCTGCAATAAGAAAAGCTGCAAACTGTGCAACCAAATCAATCCATCAAAAAGTGTCAGACACTCAAAAGGGATCTTCAATATCTGCGGATCATACAGCTGCACCTCCAGTAATGTTGTGTACCTTATCCAGTGCAGAAAATGCAGCAAAGGTTCTTATGTTGGTGAAACAGGACAGAGGTTACAAACACGGATGAATTTGCACAGACATACCATCAAGGAACATAAAGAAGGTGACCTTTGCACACCTGTAGGACACCATTTCACACAACCAGGCCACAATATGGAAGACCTCAATTTTTTAGTTCTGAAAGGAAAATTCAAATCCATCCAGGAAAGAAAAACATTTGAACTAAGAATGATAATTCTATTTGACACAAAAGATAACGGCCTTAATTTGGACATGGGTTTCCTCAACCATTATCCGACAGCTTTATGACTATCTATTAGCTAAAGCTTGACCCCCTCTGTGTGAGTGTAGTATTCCCCCCCCCCTCCCCCCTCGCTTTTGATGTATCTTATCTGTAGCCTTTTTTTTTTTTTTTTTTCTCAATCCCTTTTAACATTCTGCTTAAACTTTGTGATTTGTAATAGTACTGCTTAGACCTTGAAGAAGGGGACATACCCCGAAAGCTTGTCCTCAAAATTGTATGTTAGTGCAAATAAAAAAAGTATCACGGACAGTACTCAATTGTTTCTGTCGCAAATGCACTAATACGGCTACAATCACCTCAAACAAATTGGAAATTGCAAAAAAATTTGTTAATTTTTTTTACACAAAGTTGTCATTTCAGTTATATATTTCTCACACAAGCCATGGGTATATGTGAAATTATACCCCAAAATACATTCTATTACTTCTACCGAGTATGGGGAAACCACATGTGTGAGACTTTTTGAGAGCCTAGCCACATACAGGAGCCTGAAATCCAATGACCACTTTGAAAGCCTAAAGGTGCGTAATGTCCTCATTTCACTTCGTCACTACCTAGCACAGTTCGGAGGCCCTGAAATGCCAGGATAGCACCAAACCCTCCCAAATGACCCCTTTTTGTAAAGTAAACACCCCAAGGAATTTAAAAAGAGGCATGGTGAGTATTTTGCAGGTAAGGGCAGTGAATGCAAGTCTTCACTGTGAGATGGACAGCTCGTTGAGGTTGGTATCAGTATATACAAAGTAGTTCCAGGGTCTCCAAGTTTCAGTACAAGACTCTTACGTATTATGCAGCATGGCTGTAAGGTTCTCCATATCCTGAAGGTCATTGACTCTTGAAAACCAGAGAGTCTTGGTAGGAGGGTCAGCACTTCTCCAGGAAATTGGGATACAGGCCTCAGCAGTATTTAGGAGTTAAATTGTCGTAGAGGTTTTGTATTTTTTAGTAGGTCTCTCCGTCATGTGTAGCAGACAAGCCGTCAGTTTATCACTCAGATCCACAGCAGTAAGTTGCTTAATGAGAGAAGTTACATCTTGCTAGAATGGTTGAATTTTTGGACCAAAAAGTCCAAAAAAAATGTGGAGCATGGTCCCACCCTCTGCGTCACAGCGGCCATATATGTTGGGGATCTGGGAAGGGACACGGTGAAGCAGGGAGGGAACCCTGTGCCATCTGGAGAGAATTTTGTAACTAGTCTCTTCAACCCATTTGGCAATAGAGGACATTTTGGCGAAGTGGAGAATTTTTTTCCTCTGACTATCAGTGAGACTCAGGCCTATATCGGATTCCCACTTTGTGAGAAAGATAGTCCTCCCCAGAGTACATAAAGGAGGCATAAAGCAGGGAAAGAGAATGACCCGGTCCCCCTCTATGGCATAGTGATTCAAATTTGGTAAGTGGATGGGCAATGCCTGGAGTGAGCGAACACCGGCAAAGAAAGTAGCGCAGCTGTAGTCTGCCACAAAATCCAGAGGAGCAAGGTAGGTAAGGTCAGTAGCTATCAAAGTCCCTTCTGAGGATAGAAAGCCCGATAAATGGGTGCAGCCTTGGGTTCTGAGGTGATGAAATTGCCCATTATGGAGGTCAGGAGTGAAGTCACCCACATTGAAGAAAAATATTTTTTTTAAACATATTTTAAAAACATGCTTCCCAAATGTATTGACATATATTTGAAATACTACAATTTTGACCATATTCAATATATTTCAAAATATATTTTTATATATATATATATACATACTACTGTGTATATTGAAATGCGTTTATTACAAAATATATGAAAAATATTTTTAAAATACATTTTCATACATACTGTATACATTTAATCTACATTTTTGGAATGCATTTACAAAAATATGTAAAAATATATGTTAAAATTACTTTTTTATATGTTAAAAAAAATCTGAAGAATATATTTATAAAATATATATTTTTATATATTTTTAAATCTATTTTTCTTATATTTCATAATATATAAAAAAACGCATTTCAACATGCAGTAAATGCAATATATATATATATATATATATATATATATATATATATATATATATATTGTTTGATATATATTGAATACGGCCAAAATTGTAGTCGTTCAAATATATGTCAATATATTTGGGAAGAATATATTTTAAAATATATTTCAAATATATTTTTCTTCCATGTGGGAAGGGTTGCCCAGAATGGGAGTCACTGGTGAAGGGAGCATGGAAACTGGAGCTTCTAAACTTTTGTTTTAATTTTGGACAGAATAACATGCTATAATCACTGCCAATTTATGTTCAGCCATCTATATCTCATTGGGGAGATTTCCCTTCACTTCCCATCCTATTGCCAAAACAGGAAGTGAGAGGAAGTCTTTAAAAAGTGAGGGAAACCCTGGTTTTCACCAAGTCATCTGAACTAGTGCCCATATTGGATGATGTCTTCTGTTTTTCCATTCTGGTAACAACCAAAATGTGGGATTTTCTTTCACTTTCAGTCTTGGTGATTTTGGTAAATAGGAAAAATGTAGAGATTGAAGCTTGCTAACAGAGGCAAATAAAGTAATAAAAACTGACAGATATTCTAACCCTTCTCCCAAAAGTTACACATTAATCAACTTTATACAATGATCATTTCATGGGTTTAAAATCCAAACAATAAACATGTAAACATTAGTGGGAAAATGTCCTTTGCAGTGGCACTGATATGGTTTTGTTCAACTTCTATCACATTTTGGTTATTTGTTAGTTGGTAATAAGAAGATCATTGTGGCTGAAGGCTAATTGAAAGCCACAAAGATGAGATAAAATAGCATTGTGTATGGCCAGCATAGCACCCTGATGTTTAACACGTGCTATAAAGTGCACCCTGATTGGTGACACGTGCTAGAAAGTGTTAAAGTGCCATAAGGTGCTTTCATTACAAGAACGCTAAAAACAAAAATTCTACTGGTGATGGTCAATGTGAGAGTTTAACCTCTGAATATGTAATGGGAAAATCACTCTGCCATAAATAGATGTGTGCACAATAATATTATTTCACAATCAATTTACTAATGAATGGCTGTATTTGAAATATTTCTAATGTAAGCTAATTGCTGCAAGCGTAGACTATAATAAAGTTGATGACTGTGGCGGCATATCATGTCATGAGCACACAGGCATTTCACAAGCTGTTTCCACATGGCTGAATGAGTAGCCCACCCTGAACTTTCCCTGTTGGTGAATAAAGCAGTTTGCAATAAAAGCCTTGGCTGAAATCTATTCTTTGGAGATCTAACAATCTGGGAAATCAAAGTCACCTCATGTTTTGAACCAGCTTTAGCCTGATGGAAGCCACAAATATAAAGTCCAAATCATTTATGTTTGTAAAACCAACAAAAGGTCACTACAAAATGAGGGAACAAAAGGTTAAAGCTGTTACTAGCAAGTTAACCTATTAGGCTGAGCCTGTTGTACATTTCCTTTGGGTAGAGAAATCCATAACCAAGTAATATGTTGGCTAAAAATGTTGTCTGTTTAAGGTTACAGATACTCTATGGTTACTGGCAGCACTAGTCACATGTACAAAGGAACAAGGTATAATTCCCTTTCATGAAAAAATTGTATAAAAATGAAAGAGGCCCTTTTTGTTCACTATGACAAATAGTTTTTGATGGTAAAGAAACAAAGATAACATTGCTCTTTAATAATTCTACTTACAGTGGTATTCTGTTAAAGAATACACATAGCATTGACAGTGTGAAATGCAGAATCCCAATAAATTTGTACTTATTTAGCTAATAAATGCACAGATAATACGAAGTGTTATATTTGTAGAAACAGTACCAATCACACTTTAGCTCTAAGAAGCAGAAGGAAGAGTAATAAGAGATGACGGTTTAACAAGCCACGTTTATTAAGCCTGAGTTTTACCATATTTACACTGACTGGTGTCTTAACAGTATTCCTGTACAGGGTGCAGTGCCAAATTATAATATAAAACAAACCAACAATTTAAAAAGAAGAAAAGTATCACAAAAAAATCCTTCACCATAAATACGAGTGAATATATTACAGACTGTCCCTTTAAGAACAAATATCGTGTAATGTAATATAATAAAAACCACTGATTATATCCAAGTGTCATTGTATGTCTTCCACCAAATAGAGGACAACAGTATGCAGAGTAAAAGTCAGCGATGCATATAATTCTGGCATCCAGCAACACAGGTCAATATACAATAACCTCCCAAATGATATAATTTTATAGGGTACAGCACCAGATTATATTATAAAACAAACCAACAAGTTAAAAGAAAAAAAAGGGAAACACAAAAAAAAAAATCACCATAAATACAAGTGAATGTATAGGAGAAAGTAATATGATAAAGTCCACTAATTAAATCCACATGTCTGTGTATTTATTCCACCAATTAGAGGACAATAGTATACAGAGTAAAAGTCAGCGCCTGAGTGAATAATGCTGGCAGCCAACAATGCAGGTCACTATACATACAATGACACCACTGTGTTATTTAACCACCATGAATGCACACTCACCAGTTTGCAAGCTGCATATAAAATATTGCAAACAGGTAATTTTTCCCAATCACTCATGTGAGTTGATGAGGCTGCACTGATAGGCAGCACTGATGGGCACTGATAGACAGCACTGATGGGCACTGATAGGCAGCACTGATGGACACTGATGAGCTGGCATGGATAGGCAACATTGAAGGGCACTGATAGGAGGCACTGATAGGCGGCATTGATAGGTGGCACTTATGAGCTGGCACTGATAGGCGGAACTGATGGGCAGCACTGATGGGTGGCACTGCTGGGCACTGATGGGCTGCACTGATGAGTGGAACTGCTGGACACTGATGGGCAGCACTGCTGGGCACAGGTGGGTGGCACTGATGGGAACGGGTGGGTGGTACTGCAGGGCACAGGTGGATGGCACTGCTGGGCACAGGTGGGTGGAACTGCTGGGCACAGGTAGGTGGCACTGATAGGTACAGGTGGGCAGCACTGATGGGCACAAGTGGGCGGCACTGCTGGGTACTGATCATCAGGGCACTGACAATTGCTGGTTCTCGGCAGTACTTTTCTCACACTGTGACAGCGTGAGGAAAGTGCAGCCGATAACCGGCAAATGTATTTACTCAGTGACCTGCTGTGTCATTGGACACAGCTGATAACGTGGTAAAAGGCCACTGTGATTGGCTGTTTATCATATCACGTGATCAGCTGTGTCCGTGGGACATACGGGGGGTGCACAGGGGGGCGTTTTCTGGAATGACATCCATGGACGTCGTCCTAGAACTAGACAACTGCGCTGTGGCCATCCTTCGGCTATAGCGTGGTTGGGAACTGGTTAAAAATGAAAAATACCAGTAGTGTCCCCTGAAGACGTGCTATTGCACGAAAAAATAATTGGGATAGAGCTATTTGATGACATTTCGCTGCCATTTTCGGTTTTGGGACCAGCATCCATTTTAGTGCGTGCACTCCTATTGTTGCTGGACATGGCAGTTTTTAGTATTTCTCAATCTCATTCTCAAGAGGTAGGGCATAATCTCAACAACCTAACCTAAGAATCTGTATACTCTCCAGTGCTTTGATATATGGACCAGAGGCGGACTGACCATTTGGAAACTCGGGCACTGCAGAGGGCCCGGGGTCAGTAGGGGGCCCCATGAGATGCCTTGGTACCTTTTTCATAGGCTTTTTTGAGTTTGGGCAATGACCCCATGATCCCCTATTGCCCGGGGGCCCCATGAGTTATCAGTCCGCCCCTGATATGGACACGGCAGTAACATAATAATTAATTTTAATTGTAGGCACCATAAAGTGCCTGAATTCAGCAGTGTTGTTACCTTATCCCAGACTAGGATTCACTTTAAATATGATCTGATAAATTAAAATGCTACTTAAAAAATGGCATATTTACATTACAGTGATGTAATTTACAAATATGCTTACCGCACCACTGGCTTCAGAACGATAAGGCTCCATGCACATTAGGAGCTGAAAAAAAACGCTGGAAAAATGCTGTATAAAAAATGCTCAATATGGGCGCTCAATTTTTCCCTTTTTTTGTGCCGGTGTTTTGTCAGTATTTAGCAGTTTAGCTGGTTGTTAGGGAGCGGGCCAGCAAGTTTGCCGCCTGGTCCTTAAAAACCGATGAGTCATCAGTTGTCAGTGGGGTTCCGCACTGGCAGTTGATTATGAACAAAATAATTACAATCTGAGAAAGAAAAAATAGTGATGAGGTTCCCCCCCAATCTATACCTTGCCCTTCAGGTCTGGTATGGATTTTAAAAAGAACCACGTGCCAAAATATAAAAAAAAAAATGGTGTGAGGTTCCCCCCAAATCCATACCAGGCCCTTAGGTTTGGTATGGATTTTGAGGGAAACCCCACGCCAAACTAGACTCTTATCCGAGCATGCAACCTGGAAGGCCAGGAAAGGGGTGGGATGAGTGAGCACCCACCTTCCTGAACCATATCAGGCCACATGCCCTCAACATAGGGGGGTGATGTGGGGTAGAGAGGGCTCCCCCCAAAGCACCTTGTCCCCATGTTGATGGGGGCCAGGGCCTCTTACCCACAACAAAAACGGGTGTGTGTGAAAAGGGATTCACAAGAAAAGTGGTTACATCATGGAGAGAAAGCTATACCCAAAGATTTCTCAGAATGTATACTTTATCAATGCATATATCAGACATTTAGGTAAATACCTCAGTTAGCCATCACCACAAGATGAGACAATACAAAAAAGTATGACCAAAAATTGTTAAAAGCAAGACGTCATAACCGGTCATGAATATAATTAGTGCTATAAATGTAATGACACTGGGTCTAGTTCATATGCAGCACAGACACAAAGGTAACACCACCATGTAGGGGAAGTAATCAAAAAATTATCACCATAATAGGCTATACATCAAACATGCAATAATGTGGACATTGGTACCAGTATAGTATGGATCAGTGATGGCGAACCTTTTTGAGCCCGAGTGCCCAAAACTGCACACAAAACCAACTTTTTTATTTCAAAGTGCCAACACTGCAATTAACCACTTGCCTACCAGGCACTTCTACCCCCTTCTTGCCCAGGACAATTTTCAGCTTTCAGTGCTGTTGCACTTGACATTGACAATTGTGCGGTCATGCAACACTGTAACCATATGCAATTTTTATCATTTTTTCACACAAATAGAGCTTTTTTTGGTGGTATTTAATTGCCACTGGGTGTTTTATTTTTTGCACTATAAATGAAAAAAGAGCAAAAAATTAAAAACATAAAAGGTTTTCTTTGCTTCTATTATAAAATTTTGCAAACAGGTAATATTTCTTCTTTGATGTGCGTTGGTGAGGCTGCACTGATAGGCAGCACTGATGGGCATTGATGAGGCGGCACAGATAGGTAGCACTGATGAGGCGGCACTGGTGGGCATTGATGAGGAGGCACTGATGATGCACTGATATGCAGGAAATGATGGGCACTGATAAGCGGCACTGACTGATAGCACCAACTGGAGGCACTGACAGACGGCACTGATCGGCGGCACTGCTGGGCATCATTGATGGGTGGCACTGCTGGGCAGCACTGATGGACGACACTGCTGGGCACTGACAGGTGTCACTGCTGGGCAGCACTGACAGGTGGCACTGCTGGGCAGCACTGACAGGCGACACTGCTGGGCACTGATGGATGACACTGCTGGGTACTGCTGGGCTGCATTGCTGGTCACTGCTGAACGGCAATGATAATCAATGCCCTGATTATTAGTGCAGATCTTCCCTGTCACATTTGCCGGTTATCTGCAGTACTTTCTTCAATTTGTGACAGCGTGCAGCCGATAACCAGCAACTGTATTTACATTGTGATCAGCTGTGTCATTGGATACAGTTGATCACGTGGTAAAAGCCTGCTGTGATTGGCCTTTTACCTTATCATGTGAGCAGCTGTATCCGTAGGACACAGCGATCACCGGCAGCGCAGGGTGTGTGCCACTGGGTTCGCATTCTGGGACGCCCTCCCAGAACTAGACAACCACGCTGTAGCCATCCTTTGGCTATAGCATGGTTAGCGAGCAGTTAATCTCACCTCTGGCAGTGTCGGTGTGGCTTCCAACCCAGCAGCTCATTCCCATCCACGCTGAACACGTTGCCCCTGGCCCCAGAGCAGTGTGGGAGCCTCTTCTTCTCTTCCACGCCCATCCCCGGCTACATCACCCCTGGTGCCAGATCCGCATATGAGCCGTTTCCTCTCGTCCACACCCACCCTGGCCCCAGAGACATGTGGGAGATGTAGTTTGATAGGGGTCCAGTGTGGACGAGATCTGGATGGCCGGTCAGTGTGCGTGGTCCGTGTGCGCTCATCTTCCTATTCTTCCTGGCGTGCCCACTGAGATGGCTCTGCGTGCCAGCTTTGGCACGCGTGCCATAAGTTCGCCATCACTGGTATGGGTTATGGGACCCGATTAATTACTAATAGTGAAAAATCCAGCTCAGGGCAAGAATCCAAGAGAGACATATGCAGCACAAAAATTAGATTGCTTGTGAAAGAACCAGAACCTGATGCTATGGTGTGTTGCCACACACTTATGTGGAAAGACATAATATCAATAATGGCACTTGTAACCGGGATGAGTTGTTGTTAACTGATGGATGGACAGTCATGTCCAAAGATAATACTGTGAAATAAACTTAGTGACAGCAATAATTTCTCCATATGACATCCATCATCTGTAGTTGAAATATCAGGGCCCTGCCAATATAGTGTAGGGATTCTTCACCGCCTGCATGCGGACTAGATGTCTCCCTTGTTATACAGTCAGGTCCATAAATATTGGGACATGGACACAATTGTAACATTTTTGGCTCTATACACCACCACAATGGATTTGAAATGAAATGAACAAGATGTGCTTTAACTGCAGATTGTCAGCTTTAATTTGAGGGTATTTACATCCAAATCAGGTGAACGGTGTAGGAATTACAACATTTTGCCTATGTGCCTCCCACTTGTTAAGGGACCAAAAGTAATGGGACAATTGGCTTCTCAGCTGTTCCATGGCCAGGTGTGTGTTATTCCCTCATTATCCCATTTACAATGAGCAGATAAAAGGTCCAGAGTTCATTTCAAGTGTGCTATTTGCATTTGGAATCTGTTGCTGTCAACTCTCAAGATGAGATCCAAAGAGCTGTCGCTATCGGCGAAGCAAGCCATCATTAGGCTGAAAAAAAACAAAACAAACCCATCAGAGAGATAGCAAAAACATTAGGCGTGGCCCAAACAACTGTTTGGAACATTCTTAAAAAGAAGGAACGCACCGGTGAGCTCAGCAACACCAAAAGACCCGTAAGACCACGGAAAACAACTGTGGTGGATGAGCGAAGAATTCTTTCCCTGGTGAAGAAAACACCCTTCACAACAGTTGGCCAGATCAAGAACACTCTCCAGGAGGTAGGTGTATGTGTGTCAAAGTCACCAATCAAGAGAAGACTTCACCAGAGTGAATACAGAGGGTTCACCACAACATGGAAACCATTGGTGAGCCTCAAAAACAGGAAGGCCAGATTAGAGTTTGCCAAACGACATCTAAAAAAGCCTTCACAGTTCTGGAACAACATCCTATGGACAGATGAGACCGAGATCAACTTGTACCAGAGCGATGGGAAGAGAAGAGTATGGAGAAGGAAAGGAACTGCTCATGATCCTAAGCATACCACCTCATCAGTGAAGCATGGTGGTGGTAGTGTCATGGCGTGGGCATGTATGGCTGCCAATGGAACTGCTTCTCTTGTATTTATTGATGATGTGACTGCTGACAAAAGCAGCAGGATGAATTCTGAAGTGTTTCGGGAATATTATCTGCTGATATTCAGCCAAATGCTTCACAACTCATTGGACGCTTCACAGTGCAGATTGACAATGACCCAAAGCAGACTGCAAAAGCAACCAAAGAAGTGGAATGTTCTGCAATGGCCAAGTCCATCACCTGACCTGAATCCGATGGAGTGTGCATTTCACTTGCTGAAGACAAAACTGAAGGGAAAATGCCCCAAGAACAAGCAGGAACTGAAGACAGTTGCAGTAGAAGCCTGGCAGAGCATCACCAGGGATGAAACCCAGCGTCTGGTGATGTCTATGCGTTCCACACTTCAGGCTGTCATTGACTGCAAAGGATTTGCAACCAAGTATTAAAAAGTGAAAGTGTGATTTATGATTATTATTCAGTCCCATTACTTTTGGTCCCTTAACAAGTGGGAGGCACATTTACAAACTGTTGTAATTCCTACACCGTTCACCTGATTTGGATGTAAATACCCTCAAATTAAAGCTGACACTCTGCAGTTAAAGTACATCTTGTTCATTTCATTTCAAAACCATTGTGGTGGTGTATAGAGCCAAAAATGTTAGAATTGTGTCCATGTCCCAACATTTATGGACCTGACTGTATATCTGTTGTGTAGATTGTAGGAGTATCCATGCTGTATAATGAACGTAGGGTGCTGTGCACCTTTCAAGAAATGTAGCATGATGTCCCCATCCTGTAGTGAATAAGTGACATAAAAGATAGTCAATGTAGTTGTCACTAAGTATGTCAAGTATTGACAGCCATAAGGCCGTACTTCCTTTCCTGTTTTTGCAGTATTCCACTCACCACCTGTTCAGTAAGTACATGATGATGCATAATCTCTCTCATAGTTGGATTCAGGCCCGGAGTCCCGGAGGCAGCCGCCAGCATCAGGACTGTGGACAAACGGGCTCCGCTTCCATCCTAGTACACGTGCAGCCTGATGAACGCCCAGCACATATGTGTGTTTCCGTGTCCCCTGCAGGACTAGCTGTATGGCGCCAATGTGTCTGACCGATAGTGACGTCACTGACGTGTGACGTCAACGCGTTTTGCCAATGGGCATATCTTACTCAGCTTCGTCAGGACCAATGGAAAGAATAGCTCAAAGCTCCATTTATATCAGGCGGATCCCCGCCCATATATGTAAATAAACTGCAGGCAAAGCATCTCATTAGGAAATAAAAAAAACTGATTTCTTTTGCAATTGAACATACCTTATGAGACCCAATCTGTGTGGTCAGGATGGCAACTTACTGATATGGTAGAATCCACAGACAATATTTTAATATTTTGGAGTGCATATCATCTGAAGCATGAGATTTGCAATAGTTTCTAAAAATTACCCAACCTACGCCAGTCTTTGGGACCTAAGGAGCATTGTTCCAATTATTTTGCAGCTGACATAACTTGTGAACTCTCAGGATATCTCCACCCAGGATAATCTTAGATAATGTTCAGAAAATGTGTCTACTGTTGTAGGGATTTCTTCCTGACTATTTATAATTGATTACATTCACTGAGTATACAAAGAGAAATCTGATCAGTTCCTCCTATAGGAGCAATAATAAAATCAGACGTATGAGTTGTTCTTCCTGAAATTTCCACTGTGTGCAGTGTAGAGGATAAAGCATTCTTAAGAATTCTTGAACAAGTCAAGAATTTTGAAGCTGCAAGGGAATGACTGCTTTGTTCATATAACACAGCATACATCTTAAATGCTTTCTTAGGTTGTCTTTGGGGTAAAACCCTAAAAAAAGACAACAATGGCTTTGTCTCAAAAATCCTTTGTGGAGAAGCTTGATAGACTTTGAGGTTCCTGTTGCAGATGACTATTCATGGCTCTTCTCACCATGATTTAATATGGGTGAGAAGTAATTAATGAATACATAGTCCTGTTTAAAAGAGCTTGGTTGGAAGGCTGAAAGATGAATGCTGCTGTTGCTCTCTGAAGAATTAACTGTAGCCTTGCAGTCTTTAGCAAAGTACTCTAATAATTTACAACATTTGAAGCAAATGCCATGACTTCTTGGGAACGCCTAGCATTCTTCCTAAGGCTTTTCCCTTTAAATCACACTATTTTTTGTGAGGATGTGGCTTGTTGTTGATGAGACAGTAGTAATTTGGGTCCTTCTATCTTTCATACCCATCATAATTGGTATTGGTGGCAGTTAGGGATGCACCAATAACTTTTTTTGATTGGCAAGTACAAGTACCAATACTTTCAGTCAAGTACTCGACAATACTGAGTACCGATACTTTGTGGTGTCAATACAGAATGTATGGGCGCAAATTGCACAGAATGTATGGGCGCAAATTGCACAGCATGTGATTTGAACAGGAATGCGATTCCTGTCCAACTCACATGAGGTTCCCCACTGCTCCTGTGTGAACCCTGACTTGTCATAGCCTGTGTTCACATATGAGCAGCGCAGGGAAGATTCCTGCAGCGGAGAGTGGGAGAGAAGGGCGTGTGGGGATGTATATCTTGGTTTCAAATGGAGGCAGATGCTCCAGATTCTCAGATGTCGGAAAGGAGAGAAAGCTACAGGGATTTGAAATATCTGCAGCTTTCTCTCCTCTCCTTGCAGGGATGACAGTCCAGGCTAGAGGGCTTTTGATTGGTCAGTACTGTGCATGTGAATGTCCAATCAGAATCTGTTTAGCCCATACTGTCATCCCTGCAATGAGAGGAGAGAAAGCTGCTTCACAGGTCTGGGGATTTGAAATCCCAACCACTTTCTCTTTTCAGAAGCCTGACCAATCAGAAGCCTCTATCTATACCTTTCT